TGAGAACATATAAGATTTACTTTCTTAGCAACTTTCAAATTTGAAATGCAGTATTATTGGCTATAGTCCCCATGCTGTACATTACCTCCCCACAACTTATTTATTTTGTAACTGGAAGTTTGTACCTCTTAATCTGCTTCGCGCATTTCACCCACCCGCCAACCCCCTTCCCCTCTGGCAACCACCAATCTGTCCTCTGCACCTCTGAGTTTTGTTTTGTTTGTTTATTTGTCTTGTTTTTTTTAAGCAATGAACTCTTGGGAAGAGAAATTAAGAAAACAATCCCATTTACAGTTGCATCAGAAAGAATAAAATACTTAGGAATGAATTTAGCCAAGATGCCTCTTTAGACCAATTATGGGTAGAGTAATTTACATTCAGGCTCTGACATTTGGCTGTGTCTTTTATTTTTTAAGGAATTAGGTAAAATGTTTATATGATGATAATAGAATTTAGGAAACTAAAATTACCAGAGATATAAAAATGTCTAATGATTTTGACTCTAGGGTTATTTCTCTTTATGCCAAATGGCAGGACTATAGGAGACAGGACAGAAGAGTTTCTGAAGTATTTGGGGGGAAGTTTACAGAATAAGATCTTTTTCCTACTCTGGGAAAATGAGAACTATTTAAAATACATTAAAGATTAAAATCTTTAGTGTTTCAGATAAAAGCTTGAACACATTTCTTGTTAAAGGTACTAAAATTTCAGAGTGTTAGAAACGTGTGCTGGTCTTCCTAGAAAATGTTTCTCTGAGGTATCTTCCTTAGAAGAGAGAACCTTTGGGGTTCTTATTGTAAAAATCTTGGAGAAGCTTGAAAACAGCAAAGCAAACAGGAAACAGAGTTTAATTTGTGGAAAGTTCAGGGAAGAAAAGCAAATCACTGAAAACGTAGCTCCCTCTGAAGATTCTTTAATCGCAGAGGGCGAGAAAGCGATGGCAATAAAAAAAGCTGGCATAGAAACTGGTTAATGAGAATGTGGCGTGCCAGTGACCCACTGGTGCGTTTTGAGTTTCTAGGCTTTATTCTACCTTTTCACACAAAGTCTCCTCTAAAAAAATGCCCCCCACCACCCCAAACACTATTTTTCATGCTATTTAGAACAAGTTCAGAATCAAGTGTATAGAGATTCACCAGAAATAATTCAGCCTGGAAGAGCAGAGATCTAGAAGAGTTTTGAGTTCTAGGACATTTTAGACATACATAAAGAATGTGGTCAAGCCTTGACCTTTCCTACCTCAGATTTCCATGAACAGAATGAGGACAATAAATGTTTCCATTTGTTTCTTTGACTTAATCATTTTCTCAGGATGGGTGGGTCTGTGGCCAGCGCGTGCTGAGGCGTTGACTTCCCAGTAGGCGCAGATCTGAAAGATGGCTGGGTTGGTTGAATGATTGTTGTTCATCATATTGGGACCAGGGGTTGAAACTCACTGGTGAGGACCCGTTGGAGATTTCAGAGTAGGCTGGGGAAATTGCTGGAGCTACTACACACATGCCATGTGGCTAACTGGGTATGTCGGGAGGCTTACAGGATTGTGCTGCTGCGGTCCAGCTGGGACAGATAAAGAACCTCTAAGACTGGGATTAGGGGCAGGTCTTGGTAGCCATCTGCCCTCAGCACGCGTGTTGATAACCTTCGCCGCAGTGTCCAGAGTGAAGAGGAAGGTCACCGGGAATACTCATCTCTGTGACTCATCCCCCAGTTCAGCTGTTGCCTTTGCGTCCACCTGCTGCACGTGAGATCTCTAAGACCTTATTCCACCTCACCCTGCTGCTTGCCCCCAACAGAGAGGCTGTAAATCACCTTGAGAAAAAACGAAGGGTCCCTGACAGCCCCCACTTTCTGTGTTCTGTGGGGGGGGTCACCTGGTTCTTGTGCGGTTCATCAGTTTATGGCCTATTTTCCAATATCTTATGAGTCAGGAGTTGTGGAAGTTTGTAGGACGAAAGTAGAGGGCTACTAGGAAGAGCTGAGGGGACAAATGGAGCTGAATCGGCCCCGTTCTACCTGCTCCATTGTGTTCTCTAACATGGGGCTGAATCTGACTGGAGGACAGTGTCTTTTTCTTTGCACAAAGGCACTACACAGCCCAGCAGCAGCATGGCTGGGGCACTTGGAGTTCCATGAGACTGGGTGCATCTGATTCTGTGGCAAAGGCTTCAGATATATATTGCCAGAGGCAAGACTTCACAGTAACTTCTTTCCATCCTGTTAGTCTATAAGCAGTGGAAAAATGTAACTACAGCATCCCCTTTGTTACATTTTTAAAGGTCGTAACTATTGGCCACCTATTCCATTCTGTGACGGTTAAAACGCCCCACAGTCTATAGCAATACTTGGGTTACCAAGCTGTTTTGTTATTATTGTAATTTTTATGGTTTCTTTCAAATAGAGTATGAATCCTTCTCCTGAAAAATCACTTCCCTTTGACAAACTTCCTGTATAGATGATGCATCTACTTTTAAGGGTTATCTGAGTTCACTTTTAATTCCTTAAGGAAACAGCAAACGGAATTGTGAGAGGCTATCTAGTGGTGATAAATATAATGTGGCTTCCCCCAACCATCCTCGTTGACTCGAAGCTGCATCCTTGGGCTGCACTAAAGAATTCCTTTATGGTACAGAGAACCTTCTCTGCTGGGCTGCACCCAAATTATGATGGTGATTTTGAATGTGCACTTTTCCCTTGGGAGAGGAGGGTGTGTAGAGGGAGAGAATAGGGGTTGGCGCTAGGCAATGAAAGATCTGAAATCTACTTTTTCTCCAAGTTCTGAACTGGAATTTGTAAACTGTAAAGTCACAAACCCAATTTTTAACAAAAGTAAATAAGGCTTCCTGTTTGATAAAACAGGATGCCCAAAATATTAAGAGAATTCATGTACATATTAATTTCCATGTATACATAGGAACCATGTGGAAGGAACCATGATAGATACTCAATATTATTTTTGTTAAGAACTCTGTTAGGGAGATACTCTTATAAACCCTGTTTTCCAGATGAGGAAACTGAATTTTATCCCACGTATTGGACTCCAAAGCTCATTGTCTTGTCATATATGCTTCTTCAAATGATTAAACTATTTACATGAGAAGGTGTACTGTGTATCTTTCTCCTGGATTTTTATCCATGATTTTATTACAAGTCTCTTTTGCTGCCAGCTATCTTGGGAAGCTGTGTCCCTGTTGGGCTGTCTGCTACCTCCAGAATCATCTTTAATGCCCAGGATTATCTAGGTCCCAGGACTGGGCTTGTTTTGATTCCCTCCCTCTGGGCTGAAATTGTGCCCT